GAAATTTAAAGGGGAATGGGAAAGGAAGATAGGTATCATGAGAGAGAGAGATAATTCAATTGAAAAAATCTATAAAAAGCATGCTTCTCTCTCCTGGATTGAATATGTTTGTTTGATTTTATTATAGTTATTTTCCATGCCACGTGTCTGTTACCGGTTGAAGGAATCACATGTTGAAAATTCAAAGATGGTGGGGTTTAAAAAAAAGTGCATGTTGAATACAGAGAGGGGAGACTCCCTCTCTATATCTTCCTCCAAAATTTTGTTTTTTTTTCTCCTAGTATTTTTATTAAGGTTTTGTTTGTAGGAATGGGCTTTGAGCCCATGTGTGGATTGCTAAAACATACACCCCAATACTCTTTTTGCACCCCCTGATTTTAGTCTATTTGATTTATTTAGTTAATTAATTTAATTAATTCATTTCATCTATCAAAATAAAAAACAAGTAATTTATTTAATTTAATTCAAAAAACAATAAACATAGATTTATTTGTACATAGTTATTAAAATTCTCTGATTAAAGTAGCAGGATCATAACCTTGTAAATATTCCACAATGTATTATACATACATCATCAACTTTTTTTTGTACACAAACATAATTAACTCATTAACCTAATAAAATAATCTAACTCATTTGGTCTATTGAAGATGGACAGGGGTATCTTGGTCGTGTGTCTCTGCAGATTCATGAGTACTTGGATAATAGCCGTATCGCTAGCCTTTCAAGTACTTGTTATCTATGAAAGATTTCTGAATCGATCCGCAAACCTCTTTTCAAAAAAAGGGATTAAATAAGGCCTCTTGGAAGTATGTCTCTGTAGGTTCCCAAGTATTTGAATACAAGTTGTATCGCTTGCCAGTCAGATACTCATCTTCTGCTTAAAAAACACTCAATCATCAAATTGACTTGTTTCCCTTGTGCACCTAATTCCAAAAAAATTCATAAAAGAATAATCTGATTCGTTTAACGTGAATACAAACAATGCATAAAATATCTTCTATGTTCTTATATCCTTAAACAAAACATTTTTATGCCATTGCAATCTATCTAACATAATGGCGTTGATGTTGTTGTATTTTTGGAACAATGCTCAGTTAAAGAAGGTTATAAAATTTCTCTATGATAGATTATAAGTGCCGAAAATCATTCTTGCTTCAAGTTAATCAAAGAAGGGCGTTCAACCTTTAAAGTTATTTGAAGTTTGATGCATACAAGATATGCAACAAAATGTGAATTGCAGCCACAATGATGAATCTCGATTTGTTTAATATTTTGTGTAAATAATGTAATGTTTAAAAAAAACATTATTTACCTCAGTTTTCTTCTAAAATCGACGGGTAAACATAGTTTACCTTGATTTTTGTCAAAACCATGGGGATAATTTTGGAGTGATTATTGAGGATATTGATCATCGTCCTTAAACAAATCTTTGTCGTCCATTTCATGAGTATCAATGTTCAACACACTACCATTAGTGATCTGCGAGAAACATAAAAACATACATTATAAAAGTATTATAAATATCAAAAAGCAAGTGAATCATCATGAAGCGCTTGAAACTATCTACATCCACCACTTTAAGGTTTGCAAGAGAATTTTCCATGAAAATATCTATATGATAGATGGCAAAAGCAGAAAATTATTTGGGTTTAAGGTTGATGTTCTTATATATTTATTTTAGCAGAAAATAATTTATTTATCTAACCCTTTTTTTATTTCAAAAACAAATGCTTACAAAAGAAATTGAAATTATCCTACACCCAACATTTTTCTCATCTCCAAAATACAATGATTTGAAGATCTAAAATCAGATTTTCAGGGACACTAATTTTTACTTTAATATTATGTGTAAATAATGTAATATTATGGATAAACAATGTAGTTTATAAACAAAAATAATTTTTAAATATTCTGTGTAAACAACCTAACAAGTTATTTTAAAAAACAATCTATCTTACTCATCGGCTTTATTGATAAATTGAGAGGTACGATGCGTTAAATTTGAAAATAATAAAAGTGTCGAAGTTAGGGTTCAAAAACATGTGTAGATAACTTTACTCCTCAGTTTCTAAAACACCAAGGGATAAAGTGGTGACTTTTCATGACACCCTTTGTTACCTTGCTTATGTAGCCGAGATTAAAATCATTTCGTGTTTGAGGTGTAATGTATTCTTTGTAGAAGTGGCGTAGCAAAAGCTGACGACTCTATTGGGGAAAACTCCCTAAAGAGAGTCAAGCATATTCTTTAGTTCTAGGGTTGTTGTTTTGTTTTCTTGTTTTTACTTTATTCTTTGTTTTGTTTATTTTATTCTCTATTTATTTTATTTTGTGTATTATATAATATTGTGGATTTTGGATTATTGTTTGAGAACGCGCTCTACACCCAAGCTCGAGAACAAACATAAGCTTAAGTAAGGGGTTGTCTAGTATCGACCAATGTGATGCATATCCTAACAGGTTTTTTACGACAACTCCGCCTATTTTAAAACCATCCCATTATAAGATGCCTTCCTTATAGGTCGGTCTTGTTGTACTTGAGACTTCAAACGCAAGAGGGGGTGAGTTGTGTGGTTTGGAAAAACATGGTTTTGAAAACTTTTTCGAGATTTAAAATCAGAGTTTGAAAAATATTTTTCTAAAACTTAATCAGCCAAAAGTAGATATTAAAAATGCAGAAATAAAGTGACAAGACATCAAGAATTATAGAGGTTCGGTCAATTAAAAAGGACCTACTCCTCTCCCCAATAACTAGTCTTGAGAGTTTCCATTATATACTTGAGAGCTTTTAGTAGGTGAATCTCACGAACCCCCTTATACAAGGAAATGGTGGTTGTCCAAAAACCATGATAATACAAGATGGAGGATATGATCATTTGTGTCTTCTCCATTGCTGATATTGAAGTGGCCAAGCTTCCTTCCCACTAGTATATTGAAGTGATTAAACTTCTCTCCATGAAATATTTGAGCTCAAGATGGTTTAATAGGATAACCATTAACCTCTTTAGATCTTAACATTCTGATCTTATAATATATGGTTTTAAATGGTCTATCCATGAACCTAATGTGAAGTTCATCAATATTGATAATCTTCAATCTTTGAATAAACAAGGCTTTCAAAGAGCCTTAAGGGGAGTTCATCAATATTAACAATCATGGGATCTAATCACACAATTTCCAACCAAAGCTTTTAACGGGTTTAGCTTTGAACCGCATATTTTTATCCCTAAACTGGATTGTGTTCATCTAAGGTGCATAAAAAACAACCATGAATAACATATACATTGCTACTCATCCAGAATTATATAGACACCTCACTCACAAAAGATCTTTCTTCACAAAAGAATTTGGCTATAAGAACTAGTGAGAGAAAGTGAAAATGAAAACTTAGAGAGAGAGAGAGAGAGAGATAGATAGAGAGAGAGAGAGAGTATGTCAATGAACTTTTTTTTATTTTGGATAATTTGAACCCAAGAATGAGACCTCCATTTATAGGGTTCAAATCCTTCAAAAGAGGAAACATCATTAGTTCAAAAATGATTGTTGTTAATCGATTAGTTCATTTAAAAATAACGACTATGATTTCCAAAATAGGTAAGAAGTGATATGTAGTCATTGATAATCAGTTAGGTACATTAAAACCGCCTTTATCCTCATAAGTGCGCCAATCTAATCGATTGACACTTTGTCTTAATCAATTAGATTTGTTTAAAAAATACTTTTCTGGCTTTTTGAATGGTCTCACCACTTCCTAAGCAACTTCTAAATATTTCTTAAAAGTAACATTTTATAAAAAGGTTTTAAGTGTGTGTTTGTTTATAGCCAACTACTTTTGTAAAAAAAAATTTTACTTTTACAAAAATTTCACTCACTTACTAAATTAGGATAGCTTTCCTAAGCCAGTGGTTGATGTATTCATTGTGTTGACACTTGGCTTGATATCTAATTTTGAGGTTTGTGATGTATTCCCTATTTGTTTGCCTTCGTATGAGATTTTGTTGATGGAGCTTTGTCTATGTCTGAAACTTTATAAATCCTTTATCAACTGAGACTTTTTCACTCAACATCAATCCTTATCGCTTGTATCTTTAACTTTCTTGAGTACATTGGTTGATTTTCTAAATGGTTGCATCTTTTACTATGTTGAATGTTATCATATCTTCTCTTTTTACATTTTTCATCATGTTGCATCTTTATCATATTAAATATATGTTCTTGATCTTTATAGGTGTCCTCATCAAAACAAGATTTGTTACCTGCAAAGCAAGCACTACAAGAAAATTGGCAGATTGCGACAGGTATTTTTGTAGATTATGACGGTTAAAACCGTCGCAATTTGCTTTCCACGACGGTTGCTTTACCTTCGCAGAAGTGTGTGTCCCCAACCTATTTCGCGACGGTTACAAAAACTGTCGTTCAAGTTTACGACGGGTTGATACCGTCGTGACTATCTTTTGAGTTTCTTTTAATTATTGATGGCGACGGTTCGATACTGTCGTGAATATCTTTTGAAATTGATTAAATTGTTTATGGCGACGGTTCGATACCGTCATGACTTTTGTTGATTACGACGGTTCGGTACTGTCGCCATGACTTTTGTTTATGTCTTGATTTTTTTTTATTTTTCTATTATATATATTTTTTATTTAAATTATTATCTATGTAAAAAATTTTAAATATAGTTTTTTTTTGTGTTCTTTTTTTCTTTAAATTATTTCTTCTTTAATATATTTATTTATAGTATTATTTTTTGTTTTATTTTCTATCACTTTGTAATATAGTAAAAATAATTTCAATAAAAAATATTTAACATCAAATAAGCATTATAATATCCAAAAAAATGTGTGTTCCTTAATCATGTAAAATGCGAGTTCCATAATCATGTCAAGTAGTACAAAAAACCCAAAATATATCAATTCCTAATCTTATAATAATAAGTATCATTATGCCAAAAATACATGAGAAAGTTCACAATCTAATTATCTCGATCATAGCAAAGTCTAATTTGTCCCCCCTGAAGTTCCATTATCTCCAATACGGTAGCTAGACTCAGATGAACGTCTACCATCAGCGGGTGATTCCAATCCCTAAAAAAAGGTATTAAAATAATAATCTTTAAAATAATACTCATAAAATTTAACTTTAAATGCGTCAAATTAATATACCTGTCTTCCATTGGAATAGAGTTAGCAGTACCTCATGTAAAGGAAGGTTCAACCCAAGTTCAGACGAAGTTGATCGCAAATTGGAAAATCGTCGTAAATCCCTTTCGGCTATACATGGAAGGATATATCCATCTATTTCATGAACCAACAATCAGCATTTCAAACAACTTCCAAATTTTCATCCAAGAGGTAGCATATACCAATTCTTGACTAAGACTAATGACATGACTCGGAGCACAAATTCTTGAGTTACAAGAATAAGCATTTGAAATTAGATAAAGTACCTGTTCTCTCCGAAGGCCATTCGAAGTATACAGTGCATATATGATGGAGCTTAGTACGTTGAAATGGATACTGAGAATGAGCCCTACAGAAATTTTTGCAAATTCTTATTTTAAGTGCGTATCTAATTAGTAACCAGATTCAGAACTATAGCAGATAAACTTTACCATTAACATATAGCTTTCGTAGGTTCTGATTAGTATATTCTAAATTCCAATCAATATTGAGTATAGTAAAGGAACTGGAAGCAATGAATTAAATAACATACTTGAGCACAAAGTCTGAATCAGCTGAGTGGCATTTTGGCTTCAAATAAGCATCAATCACTTGTAAAATGGTATCGTCCTTTCCTATATTATTTTTAGCTCCTGCATAAACAAAAAAGATAGAAAAAATGATTAAAAAAAGTTGCAAAATGGAACTAAAATGCAATATAGATATGACAAGGGTATATATACCTTTTCTTTTTTTCACCCATCTAAGTCCTTCAGAAGCAAATTTTTTTAGAACATCTTTCTCCCCAATTGATTTTACTATCTGACAAGCTAACTCCTACAATACAACCATGGAAACAATCATGCAAAAGCACAAGCAACCATATAATATGTAAATATTCAACCCTGCTAAACAACAAGAGGTGAAAAGGCAAAAAGTAATATGATCATGAAGGATGTGTTTAAGGACTTACTGGACCTAAACCATGAACTCCTTGATGATAGTCACTGCCGAGAAGCAAAGAGAGAGCAATCTGAAGATCATGGGTTACTCGGTTACTGATTTTCACCAGAACAAGAACTCAATACCCTTGAATTTTGAATTGACAAGAAACAACGAAAGATCGTCTAAGAAAGCATTGTGACTCTTATGTTAAAACATCAATCAGAAATTTACCAATGAATCTCGTCCCAATCCAAGTTTATTTTCAATCTCTGCCATCTCATAACATACAACATATCCACCATCTCCTAACTCATTAATAAAAAAAAATTCTTGTAAGTCATATGAAAGTACAAAAAAATCCTTAGAACTTATACGAAAAATACAATTAGCACAAAAATATATTCAACAATAATATTTAAAAACGAAACCAAATGATATACTCACCAAGGAAGATTTCCCTGTACACTGTCCTTGCACCAAAGAGAAATATATCTGAATCTGAACTGAAACATCCATCCTATAATTCTCAACAATGAATGACAACAATCATGATATTAGCAAACAGCAATAGTACTAGTATCCCAAAAATAACTGATAATTACAAAGTAGACAAGTGCTTACGCATAATGATTCAGAGTTCAACAAAGCACACTGTGCTTCAGATTCTTCAATCCTGCATTTTCGAAAAAGAGCAAGATGCTATCAGTTCAAATTGGTTAACAGTCATCTATTTAACAGGCCCGGTCTACATTGTTCCATTATATTTCCTTGAAATCGCTTGAATAGATGTATTACACTACACAGGGTTTCAGCAATAAAGCAGATATGTAAATATTTTCAATTTCAACTGACTCCTTACTTACGTGCAGATAGAGAACCGGGTGAATTTCCAAAACCTTGGTTAAAAGGAGCTCCATTTTGAGAAGCCTTCAATAATATCCATTGTTATTACATGTTAAGGGTAAGACAAATCACTAAATATATTTAGAAAAAACTAGAATTGTAAACTCACTTCAGCTAGAGCACGGGCTTCCTTGAATGAACTTGATTCATCAACATCTTTAAATCTTTCAAAAGCATTCTTCTGCACAGTTTCTTCTGGAGACACATCTACAAAAGCTGCAATAAATAAATATTTATCAGGAAAATTTTAATTCCAGCAAATTTATATGGACACACTTCACAATTTGTTATAAACATGCATTATAGATAGGGATAACATACAAACCAGAGAAATCTAACAAATAAAAACACTAATGTTACCTGTGTTTTTTCTTTCCGCCTATATTGAACATAAACAACCCAGTCATTTTCAGGAATGCCTCTGCATTTTGGATAATTTTGAAGATTTTCCTCCAAAGGGAGATCCCATCTATTAAAATAACTCATGATGTGTATGTCTTCTTCAGTCTACAAACAAGACTTAAAGTTGCAGGGTAAGAGTGGAGAAGAGTCTCAACTATCTCACCAATTCGGCTGTTCGAATCATGTCATGATGACCTGTTGAGCGAAGTGCCCTGTAGATGACATCTGATTCTTTGAAGGCATCTGCTTCAATGACTACGGAATTTCCTGATGCTCCTGCCCAGAAAGGTCTGTTTAAATTTCATTCATAAAGAAACAACATTAGGTTCTTATAACTGTTTATTTTGACGATTTCATGATGAGTAGTCTTGTACATCAAAACTCTAAAGCTAGATAAACACTAATGATAGTTGAAACAAGAAAACAACACATTTATGAACTTCTTTTTGGAGAATCTAAACTAGTTAAATATTAATATATACTCAAACAATCCATTATGTGCAGACTTTATACAGAATTAAGCTAACAAAGTAATGTTTAGTTTTTGCTCAGAAACTGTAATTTCTTGCTGTAATTCTTACTCTTTGAGAATATCCTTGAGTACAGTGCTCTTGCCAGCTCCCATACCTCCCCCCATTAGAAGAAGGACCGGGCTCCTATCACTGTGAGTACATTGAGAGTCATCGTTTACTGCAATACCCATCGCTTTCATCTCTTCCACTAATGTATTAAAAACACTAGCCACCTTCAGACTCTTGGCAAATCTCTCGAACCTTTGATCCCTGTGCAAAGAATAATATTCACCTTTAGAAAAAAATAACAATTCTTTGGAACATAATAATGATTCTCATCTCATTTTAAAATATATTATACTAGGTGTTCATAAAGAATGTTAGAAATACAAACCTAGTAGCAGCCATAACTATGTTCTTTAGCTTCTTTTTTGGCTCAGAAATGTCCGAGCTCAAAACCTGCAAAGCCAAAAAAATCAGTTTTAGAGAGTGTATTGCTGCTAACACCTCTGATATTTTGTTAATAACTAGATAACCCTGATACCTGACTTATCAATATGTCACAATGGTTCCAATGAAATCCAAAGTAACTAAGAATGCATCTCTCAAACTCTTCCACCAACTTGACATAAAGTGAATCAGCATCTGGTTCATTCTCAAAATAGGCATATATATCATCTTCAAACCCTTCATATTTGCTTATGTATTCAGAAGCCAATCTACATATATCAGGACCGATTCTCCTATCCTTGAACCCCATTTTCCTAGCTGTAACAAATCAAAGAAAATGACATATAGATTCATTCCAATTTCCAAATGATAAAATAATAACGGATCCATCAATGTATGTAATTGAATAGAATACATATTTTTTTGTATACCTATGTAATGAGAGAATCTTTCAAGCTTTGGGGGGTGACCTGCACGCGATAATCTTAAACGCGTAATGATCTTTTGATCTCGAATCTTTTTGAGATGATAACGCAATGCTATGAAAAATATCAACCCAATAGATGAGATTACCAAGATCTGTGTAAAGCTGGGTTTAGCATCATAATCTGAATCAACATTGGATTGTGTGATGTTAATACAATGTCGAATATTTGTAATGAAGGAGTTTTCCAAACCAACCTCCTCACAGACACAGTGATAGGAAAGTTACACACAAAACATGAGTATCAAATACTCCCATGGTCTTAATTCCTCAGTCCTCACATTGCAATCAGGTAGAATAAATAAATGAATGTATGTTAGAAAACATGCATATATTTCTCAAAACAAGAGAATCTCATCTAAGACTATAACCCTATAAACAAAAAGTGTGATCATTTTGCTGCAGATCTGAGTAGATCACAAATTTAGTACCAGACCTCAAGTTCAAAATGTAGTAGTAATAATAATGCATTATGCATATACATGATGTTAATTTTATGCATGCTTCTACCTTATAATGTAGCATAGTTGCTTCAAAAGAGAGAGGTTAATGCTACATTACATAATAACATGGCACTTTCAAATTTCTTTGGCTTCTAAATGCAAATTCAAATAGGTAAACAACAAACTGATTAATACCAGATCATCATCATCACGGATAAGTCCCTTATCGCTTCCTTCTCGTTCCCTGAGTAATTTATTTTCTTCTTCAAGTTGAGCACAGCGCGCTTTAGCAAATGCTAAATCCGCTTTAACGGTTTTTAGCTCACGAAGAAGTAATTTTGCTTTTGCTGCTGTTGCCAATGCCACCTGAAATCAAAACAAAAGAAAATGTAGCTTGTTTGGTTACATAAGAATTTAACAGAACTTGGATAGTAGAATATGTATGTTCCATATGTGAACTAAATTTAAATTCATCACATGAGAGGGACTAAGAACAGATTCTACTAAGTTAAAATGTATTAACAATTCCAAAATCATTATAAGATGTTCTATCATCTATGCCTACACTATAACAACTAACGAGACTGCAACCATTATACATGATTACACAGTTGGCACCTTACGTCTCGGGATTGCTTAAGTTGTGTTTCATGATTAGAATGAGACTGTGTCTGATCTGATTGCTGCCATGGATTCCTTATACTTGAAGCTTGGTTTGTGTCACCTTTTCGCCTGATTTGAGATCTCAGGTCTGCTGTCTTACTCTCCACCATTGTTCTTCCATCCTGAGGAAATCAAAGAAGTTACATTGAAGATATATAACAATCATCGATGCGCACTATCAAACACATGAAATTCAGATAAACACATCAACAGATAGATAGATAGAGTTACCTCATAAGCCTTCTCACTGATGTTGTTTCCTGACTATTTGAAGAAGAAATGCTAGCAAAAGTATGCACAGTAGTAAACTTGAATAGCTTGAATATACAAAGATTCCAAATTTAGTAAAACATAGAGGTAACGGGAGCAAATGGAAATTACAATGATGGCAACAATGCGAATGAACACGCGGCTCCTTGTAGAGGGAGCTGAATATTCAAAATTAAAGTCTAGAAATTCATGATTAGCAGGAAACAATGCTATGAACTGATGATTATTGAAACCAACTCTTGGAATTTCCCAGTTGCCCCTGAAAGATAATTAACAATCTTCTATCATCATTTGATCCGTAGAAAAGGAAATTAACTAAAGAATAAATAATTAAATACCTATAGTGAAACAAAGGAGCTTGAGGAGCAGTGTAGCCTTTAAATTGCTGCATTCAACAACACAATCAACAAAATAGAGGGGAACATAATTAAGCATTTTTTTCGTACAAATTTGAATAACTTATATGTTGAGTAAGACAATAGAAACAAAGTGCAGACCTGTTGGAAAATCTCACAAGTAGTATCACCTTTCTCATTGCACCATCTTTGCACACATATTCTATGAGCATACTGCAATGTACCAGAACAAGAACAAGGTGTATCCATGTTTAAGTCTTCATCTTCATCGTGACATATTCGACATTGTACCAACGTATTAGGCGAACATGACTCAATTTGATCAACCATTTAGAATGGAAAAAAAAATCACATCAACATTGTTTGACCATAGAGTTGTAATCCTTAAGATTTAGGATGAAGTAATCAATCAACAAAATCAAACCAATATCAAAATCAAAAGCACTAGAAAATATTTTCTTTTGAAAAATTATAACTACAATATAGACCAATTTCATTATATGAGTAGTTGCTTTTAGTTGTGTTTGCCTAAGGTAGTAGGTTTGGAAAAGGTAACAGAAGAAAGGAACTTTAATTCCACATACTCAAGAAAGGTATTACTGTTTAGCAATTTGAAATTCAAACACAAACATTAACTACAAAAAAAAAGTATATATGAATCTTGGGATTGCCTATGAATATTGACATTGGAATATCAAAAATATTTCTTTCCATTAAATGAATGGTGGTCCAAATGTTGTGATGAAACCTTCCTTCAAATAAAATACCAAACTTCAAGCTTTTATTTTTCCTTTGTCTTCAACTACCACCAAAACAACAATTCAACACGATCAATTTAGGATTCAACAAGTCCTTGAAGTATCACACAATATTTAAAAGAGACAATATCTTGTAAACACAATACCGACTTTAAGGATTCAACGAAGTCCTTGAGATCTCAGGTCTGCTGTCTTACTCTCCACCATTGTTCTTCCATCCTGAGGAAATCAAAGAAGTTACATTGAAGATATATAACAATCATCGATGTGCACTATCAAACACATGAAATTCAGATAAACACATCAACAGATAGATAGATAGAGTTACCTCATAAGCCTTCTCACTGATGTTGTTTCCTGACTATTTGAAGAAGAAATGCTAGCAAAAGTATGCACAGTGACCTTCCCCTGCACTGAATTCCGAGCATGTATTACTTATGAATGCCTCTTCAGACATGAGTGCAAAACATTGAAATACATTCAATTTGCAAGGAAATTTTCATTATAACTATGTCGATTCAACTTCAATTTCAATATAATTACATACATTTCATTCAAGTACATCATAACCTAATAACCCTATTTCTGGTAAGCAAAAATCATATTCATAAGATTACCAGATTTTAGATTTTGGTGAGATTTAGAAGCAGCCCTGGTGACATGAGAGGATGAAGAGTTAGCAGAAACGCGAAAAGTCCCAAAAGCGAAAGGCTTTCTTCTTGTGAAGACGTTTTTTGAGGAGGAATGTCCCAGAAGCAGAGGTTTAGGGGAAGAAACAAGGGCTAAGTTAAGATTCTCCATTTCGAAGGTATGAAAACCGAAAATTGACGAAACTGAGAAATTGGTGGTGGTTGTGAGATGAGGAAGAGAAAGAGGTTTGAAAATTTTGGAGGAACTGAAGATAGTTGAGAGTGGTCTGTGGCGGAATGAGAGTTTGGGTTTCGGGTTCCTTGTTTGCGGTAGGGATAAGTGAAAAATAGCAATTTATGATTTGGAACTTGGATTGCTAGAGAATATACTAGCAAATAAAATGCAAGGTAAAAAAGTTTTTTAAAATGGGAAAAATGAAACACTGGTCTTTTAAAAATATAAAAAGAAAAACCAAAATCTACTTATCAAAAAACTCCATAAAAGTCCATGTGAGTTACCTCACTTGGATGGGATATTCCTAGATCTTAGTAAATATGAGTGGTTAGGGTGGCTCACGGTGGTAATAAACTTTATTTAGTGATATTTATAATGTTTACGGAGTAGAAAATGAATTGATGTTTTATGTATTTTAAGAGCTTTTTAACTTTTTTACGGCGACGGGTGTTTTACCGTCGTGCCCATGAGAATTTTTAAAGGTTTTGGGTGCGACGGTTGTTTTACCGTCGTGAAATGAATTTTAGGACGGATAATTTTACCGTCGTGAAAGGTTTAAGGGTGCGACGGGTGCTTTACCGTCGTGATATGCCTTTTAGGACGGTTAATTTTACCGTCGTGACTAGTTGTTGGTGAAAAATCAATGTTAAAAGTGTTAAATGGGGGCCGACGGTTGTTTTACCGTCGTAATAATAATATTATGATGGTTAAATATATCGTCGCAAAATAAATATTAGGGACGGTTGGTGTCAACTGTCGTAAACACTGTCTCTATATGTCAATTACGACAGTTATCACATAACTGTCGCAATTTTTGTGTCGTTAAACACTAATTTTCTTGTAGTGAAGGTTCAATATTCTCCCCCTTTTTTATGATGAAACGTATCTCTCAGTGGAGGTGGTAAAAGAAATAAAAACAATATATAATTTTAGTATTAATGCTCCCCCTGAGTTAGATAGAATTTATACCCTCCCCTTGGGAGTATACTTCTCGCCATTTTCCATAATAAAAAAGAAGGGTAAATGATGCAAATGCATATGCAAGCAAATAACCTCAATTTAATAGCATACATGTAACATGTTTATCCATACAAGACTAGGTAAGGAAACATTCTTATAGAATACATCAAGTTTCAATACTAGCATGGCATAATGCATTTTAACATATATAGAAAACACTTAGAAAATATGTCACTGAGAATATCATGGTATATAAAGCATTTTATCGGACGTGATAAGCAAGGATAATTCATGTGACAAAAATGTCATGGGTGTTATATCAAGTAGTGATGAAGGATGGCCAGGAAATATGTGTTTGACATAGAAGATTTTACTCAAAGTAAGATTTCCTAAAAAGGCATAAGTTGTACGCAATTTGATGACTATGACCATGCATATGATATATCTCTTCGAATAAAGCAGTGGTTTTTTATCATGGTATAATGGGGAAAGTTTTACACTTAGTGCAAAATAACATATTTGTCCTAAGAAATGTTTTATAATTCTTAGTCGTGGCATATCACTATATGAGACACATATAAGGTTCCTTAAAACATGTGTATGTTTTTGTCATGCTTACTGTAAGCTCGTCATCTTAAGGTGTACCTAGAAAAAATATTTTAATCATGGTATAGAAGGTATCCCACTTGATGGGGGATAATATCCTTATTTTTTAAATTTGTGATACAAGATTTTTGCAGGATAGCTAATGGTGTCTTACAAGGGTATTTGAGGAAAAAAATTGTGGTGTGCATAATTTTTAACCAATCAAGAATGTTTATATATAAAACAATCAACATGTATTTATGAAAGAGAAAAACAAACTTGATTGAAATCATAAAGGAAATGCATTACATGAAATAAATTAATTAATGCGAGACAAAGAGAAGTACATAAATGTAAATGTAGAACAATGAAGAAAAAAGGTGCATAATTTTGAAAGTGGAGTTTTATTCTACTCCGTTATTTCCATAATTCTTGGTTGTAAGTTCTTCCAAGTTTTTGGCTATGTTTTGGCAGAGTTCTAGTACTTTATAAACTTTGGTGTTTTCCATTTCCATTTGTCCTTCTTCTTCTTCAATTTTGAAGTATGAGTCTTCTTTTGTCTCTTCATTCCTGATGTGAATTCTTATTTCTCTTAGGGTGTTACGATTAATTGTTTGGTTTGTTGGATCTTCTACATCACCACTTGTGTCAACATTAAATATGGTGAGAAGTTTTTATGTTCAGTGGGCCGTATGGTAGTCTTGTTGCTGGATTTTCTCTATAGTGTATCATGTGTTTGAAAATGCTCTCTACCTAATTTGTTGGAATTTCTTGGCTAAAGAGCCACAAGGGAACGACATCTTCTCGAAGAACATAGAAATTTTTATCATCCTGGGAAAGAGGATCCTAGTAAGCATATAGTGTAAGATTCTGACTTGGATCAATTACTAAGTTGTTTATGACAGTAGCGTGTTTGAAAATTTTTAAGCCAAAGGGTCTATCAAGGTTGTAAGATAACCTATTAGAGGATATCTTAAAGGTTCTTACAAAGTGATCTTTGTGAAAGGATATCTTTACTCTATTCAGTTAATTGATTAAGACAGGTCCTACAATTATAAAGTTAAGGTAGAATTTCGTTACTAACTTTAGAAAGGTCTTGTCTGGTATTTCTGTGAATAATTCTTTGAGACAGGCTAGGTAAATTCGATGGTAAGGCTTGTGAATTTTCAGTAGGCTTGGATCTAGGTACCAAGGTTGGATCACAACTCTTTAGTGAATTGATAAATTTTCTTCATGTTTTTTATTCAAGAGTTCTGAGGGAAGTTATTGAAGGTTGATAAGTTTCCTGGGTTTTTGGTTTGAATAGGTCATGGTAAAGTTTTAAGAGAGAAATTTTACTACGACGGTGATGCAAGAAAAATATGAGATGCAAGAGAAGGTGGGAGTATGATTCCTATTTATAGTGATACCGTTTGGGCTTTTTGGTCATGTGGATCAAGGAATTTTGAAGATCAGATCATGCGGTCCAGAAATTAGATCCAAAATTTCCATATTTAGGTCTTTCGATCGATTGATCTAAACAATTAAATATCCTATTTTCATTCTTTGATATGGATCCATTAATGCTTATATTTGCTCTTCCTTGTGCATCAATTTGTTTTTGATTTGATATGAAACTTTACACTTTTATAGAATTTAATCGATTAGCTCCTTTTGTCAACCGATTAAATTTTCATTAACCGACCTTCTTGGTGTTTTGGTTTGATTGTTGGACTTTGTTGCTTTCTTAACACCTTCAATTTATACTTTTTACACCCCTAGCCTTACAAACATTTCCATTTATAATTTCGTCAGAATGTCTTTGGACGAAGCTCCAGGAAAAGACATTCTGACGAAGCTCTAGGAAAATTAAAGACATCTGAACAAATCTCCAAGAAAAGACATATGGTCGAAGCTCCGGGAAAATTAAAGACATCAGGACGAAGTTCCAGGAAAAAAAATTCGGACGAAGCTCTAGGAAAATTAAATAAATTTGGGCGAAGCTCTAGAAAAAGACATTTGGGTGAAGCTCCGAGAAAAATAAAGACATACAGGCGAAGCTCTGGGAAAATTTGAGACATCTAGAAGAAGCTCCAGGAAAAAACATCTAGACGAAGCTCTGGGAAAATTTGAGAAATCTGGGTTGAGCCAAGGTGCACTTACCAATACGAGGATTAGAGTGAG